CAGGAATGTTAGGCAGAACGACACAGGGGCACATTAACATCCCTTCAGTAAAGCTTGTACTAATCAAAGGCAGGCAAAAATACTGGAACAAACTGTGCTTCCAAAGAATGGTCACACGTCTTTGATCACCTGCAATCACTCACAGGTACACAAGGCTACTTGAGCAAGCTTTGCTGAAAACCTGCAATATATAGCACACAGTAATGTCCTACGTGCACAATCAGAGGCTGAAATACCATACTTTAAGAAAGTCTTAGCCTTCCTTCTACCTGTGCTTCAGCTCTACATCAATATATTTAGCAACTCTAGGGGTTTTTTTTTCCAACACACACCTCTTAGAAGTTGTGATTTTAAAAAACCTTCCAAGGAGGTTCAGATTTCAGATATATGCAGTGCTTGTGACGGGTTGTAAGACAGAATAACCATGATTTAGTCTAAATTAGCCTACAAAGCACCTCAAATAACTGGCTTTTCAGTATTTCTAGCGGAAAGTACCTTCTGATTTGCCCAACCTCCTGATTTATTTTTTAATATACCTATTAATACTTGGACTTGATGATCTTAAAGGCCTTTTCCAACCTAACTGATTCTATAATTTTGTATATTATATTTAATACCAAGTACAAGTACTTTCCAGGAAGACAACCCACTTAATCACTGAACAAGTCAGCTGCACAGCCTCTCGAGTTTTGCATTTTTGAACAGTCATGCATCTACCACCTAATACTCAGAAGAGTTAACAATTATTACAATAGATTTGGAGTGTCGCTGGCTTTGACAACTCGGCACTCAAGACAAGGAAACTTAAGAACTTGAGCATCTTCAGAGATTGCAACCAAAGAAAATTGTTAATTTGAAAACAATGGAGACTAAGAAGAAGGAAGAACACATTTGCCCCATGAGCAGAAAACACAGCTTGTACACACGTGCTAGAGTTCAGGAAAAGTCCTGTCATACCAACATGAGGATTCCAGTTTGCCAACCACAACTCAAATAATGGAGAAACACGGATGCAACTGTGCACTGAGGCCTTCTACAACCTGTTCCTCATGTACTGAAAAGCCCCAGGAGGCCAGACCTGTTATGCATAAATAAAGCAGTAACTGATCCTGGAAGTGTCACTGAAGGTTTTACTCCTGCAGTCCTCACTAGAAACTTTCCTTTATGGCAAGGAGATGAGTGGGATCCTCTCTAATTTTAATTAGGAAATAGCGGATTTAAAAGAGGAGAGGCTGATGCACTTGCATACATTTGGAGGTGTGGACGCAGAATTACATCTCACTTGACAGCCGGCACCACTTCACTTAGTACAAAACAAAACCAAGCCAAGCAAAGACAACGCCGAGGCACGATCGCACGCGATTCGCGTGTGACACCCGTTCGCACCACCGAGCCGCGCCGAACAGGCCCTCCCGGACATCAACAGCGCTCTC